CTCTCTCTCTCTGGTGTTAGAGCCATTTTAGCCCTGTTACTGCTTTAGGTGCTGCACTGTGAGATAGAAACCCAACTGCTGTTTATTCATCCAAGCTTCCTATTTGTCTCTTCCAGCTTCTGTCTCCTGCTCTTGGTTCCTAACCTCTCCTCCTGCCTTCTGCTTCCCTCCTAACGTGAGCTCAACTCTCAGCTTTCTCTCGAGTTGTTTTACATTTCCTGGGCCTCACCTTCCTCCTGTAGCTCCTCTCTGTAGTGTCCTGGGAAGGAATTTCTGGCTCTGCACACACATAGGGCTCACTGGATGCAAGTAAGTGCCTCTCCTTGGATGGGGATGTGGCTGCAGAGGCACATCTGCACTGCTGGGTCGTGGTGCAAAGCCAGTGTCGTCGTGCCAGGCTGAGCTGGCAGGGAGAAAGGGTTTGGATGGGGCAGCAGATTGCTGCTGCCCTGCTCCCTGTGGCATCCAGGGATGATTAGAGTTGAGTTTGCATCAATAAACTCTCATTTTTCGAGACTTTGGCAGCACCTAGGAACAGTGCAGTCCTTTTCCAAAGGAGTTCTGAATTCTGCTAGCCAAGCTGTCAGCATAATCAGGGCTTCAATCCCCTGTGACTTCAAGCAATGCCTTAAAAACCCTGAAACACCTATAAAAATGGAATTAAATTGGCAGCAAACTTTCTGGTTGTGGCAAACTGACTTGGGTTGGCTCCACCTCCAGCAATCTGCCCCCCCACACATAGCAACTTTCATTCCTACCCATTGTTTCCAGGCTGTTATAAATAAATTACTGTGATTATGTCTTCCTGTGCCCTTCCTGTTTGCTCTCCAGCCACCAGATTTTCCCCTTGGAGTTTCCAGTAAGTTTGTGGCAGGTAGTTCTTTGCCCCAGCACAGCCACACTGTGAGTGAGGGTGAGCCTGGGTGTGCTCTCACTGCCACATTACCTGTGACCAACCCTCAAACTGCCAATTTCTGACTGTGCTGTTTCATTTTCCCTGCAAAGTGCCTTCCCCACTGGCCAACAGGAATAGATTCCAAGAGGCAAATGGCATCCAGTGACCTTTTCTCATGGACAATGTTGTTGCTTCCTCGATGCTGTCAGGAAACAAACCTGATGTCACTGCAGCACTTGGCTCCTCAGTGCTGAGCTCACCCTGCAGTGAACCCTCAGGAGAGTCAGTGAGAACATCACCAGTTGAGCTGTTTGACCTCCAAGCTCTGCTCACTTTGAGTCTCAGGTTTGGGGGCTGCAAGTGCTGAGACCTGAGTGTGGCTCTGTGGGGTAGAGCTGGAAGTGTTTGCAAGTGAAGTCAGGAGTGTTTCCTGCTGCTGTGTCAGTGCTGAGGCTGTTTCCTCCTCTCTGAGAGGAGAGATGGAGCAAAACTGGATCATTTCAGACCCTTGAGCAGCTTCTTTCACTCCTCTCCCTTTCGGGCTGATCGCAGCTCTCCTAGGGGAAGGTGTCCCTGCCCACAGCAGGAGGGTTGGAACTGGGTGAAAAGGTCCTTCCTAACCCAAACCATTCCAGGACTCTCTTTTTCTGCACTGGTTTTGTTATTTTGGTAAGTCTCGTGCTGTAATTGAGACAATTACTGACTGTAATTGACCTGAATGTTTCATCCTATCAAGATAAACTGAGGTTGCAGGAAGAGATTTGGGAACTGGCTCAGTTCTGGTATTGTCGTTGTTCTTTCCCAGCTCTTGTGATGCTGCAGCTGTGGAACTCACTGGGGTAAAGTCTTGGCTCACTGGAAGCCACAGCAATCCCCTGGGCCTGCTGGAGCCTCTTCCCTGCCCACCAGTCCCCACTCCAGCAGAACGAGCAGACAGTGACTCTGCAGATTCTGAGAGCTTGGGAAGCTGTGCACGAACCCAAGCCAAGTCCTCAGCAGCTGATGCGTTTCCCAGCTAACAAACTTTCTCTTCCTCCTGCAGAAATTCCAGTTGCCAATGAAGGAAACCTGTGTGGGGTGTCAGAAGACTGTGTACCCCATGGAAAGGCTCTTTGCCAACCAGCAGGTTTTCCACATCAGCTGCTTCCGCTGCTCCTACTGCAACAGCAGACTCAGGTACAGTCCCTGCTCTGCCTGTGCTTTTCCCTCTCACAGGGGAGGAAAGTGCTGCTCAGGCTTGGCTGAGCTGGAGGCCACCACAACCCACTGAGCTGGGGAGGAGTGGGGGGAGTAGCACAGGGCTAGTCCTGCAGTGGCTTTTGCACTTGATGCAGGTTTTAGGCTCTTAATGTGATTCAATGTCCAGGTTAGTAGAGAATTCCTGCAAAGAGAGATCCATACAAACCCTGAGGGCTCTAGGCTTGTCTTTCTGAAAGTGTTGGAAGACTGAAATTGAGTCTCTCCAGTAAGACAATTCCAAGAGACACTAACAGTTGACTTTGTGTCTTCCGAGCAGCCTCGGGACGTACGCGTCGCTGCGAGGGAACATCTACTGCAAACCTCACTTCAACCAGCTCTTCAAGTCCAAAGGCAATTACGACGAAGGCTTTGGGCACAAGCAGCACAAGGAGCTGTGGGCAGGCAAAACAGAGTGTGAGGAGGCCCTGGAGAAGCCCAACCCTGGTGTAAATGCCACAGCACCTCCGCAGAGCCCGGGGGTGGAGGATGCTCCCATTGCAAAGGTTGGAGTGTTGGCAGCGAGTATGGAAGCCAAAGCTTCAGCTGTGCCAGAGAGAGAAGAGAGACCAGCAGAAACAAAGAAGCTGAGGATTGCCTGGCCACCTCCCTCGGATCAAACCAGCCAAGGAAGTGCCTTAGAGGAGGGCATCAAAGTATTCAAGCCCAAGTGGCCCCCAGAAGAAGAGGTGTCCAAGCCAGAAGCGCAGGAGGATGTGGATCTGGACCTGAAGAAGCTGAGAAGATCCTCCTCGCTGAAGGAGCGAAGTCGTCCCTTCACCGTCGCGGCCTCGTTCCGAACGGTGTCCGTGAGAGGCCACAGAGCAGAGACTTCCCTGTCTCCTCCCAAGGCTGAGAGAGACACGTTGAAGAGGAGTGAGGAGCTGGAGAGAGAGTTGGTCGTGGAGAAAAAGCAGAAGGAAAAGAAGGTTGAGAACAGGAACGTGCAGAACAATGAGGAGAAGAACGTGGAGGAAGAACGGGAAGTGTCCGGTGTGCCAGCGGCAGAGAGTAACGTGGTGGAGAATGGGCAGGTGAGTGTGGAGACAGACGAGGAGGAAAACGCCGCAGAAGAGCCAGAAATCCCAAACGAGGAGCCCCTTGAACCAAATTCTCCCAAACATTCCAGCCTGGCCAACGTCACGACGGCCAAGGAATCGTCTCCCGGCCAGAACCGCAAGTCGCAGGACGTTGGGTTCTGGGAGGGGGAAGATGTGGAGGATCTCTCTGTGGAGGAGCAGATCAAGAGGAATCGTTACTACGAGGATGAGGATGAGGATGAGGATGAAGAGTAAGTTGGCCTTTGCCTAGGAAACTTGCTGAAGGTGCTGGGCCTTTGGGAATGGGTGTTTTTAGCTTTACCAAGCAGCTCTCCTCGAGGAAGTGATGCTCAAGGGAATCCACCTCCAAACTCTCTCCACTAGGAAACTCTGGAAGCCTGCAAAGAGCCTCTTTAGGTGCATGGAAACAAGTGTCTGGCTGTGGGGCAGCCTCAGCAGGCAGAGCCTGTCCCCAGCACGAGGACAGAGCTGCTCTGTGCTCTACTGTCTTACCCCTATTTCACTACCAATCCAAGGAATTCCCCTGATCCCCGTGGTGGTGTGGGACAGACCTTCTGCCACACACCTCCTGTCCCACTACAAATGCTACTGCAGTGCTAAGGGACCAATTGCAAAGGGACTTTGTGGCCTGCTTTCAAAACTGGTCGCTCGATGCACTTTAGCACATGGAGAAGGCACAACTGGGCTTTGGTTTTGGTAAGAAGAACATTTCCGTGCGTCGTGTCCAACGAGTGAAGCACCTGGAGCCAAGTGCAATGTGAATTTTCTGTCTCAGACCTGCCTGTGGTGAGCTGAGGTCCCTGCTCTGCCCCTCTACAACTGGAATGGTGCCTGTTGCTGGACCTTGTGTGTTTGAGTGCTTGCCCAGGTCTCTGTGAGGACACTTGGGAGCAGCCTGCAGGGCATTATTTCTGCATTTCAGACGCATTTGGAGTGGAGTTTTTTTGTTTGCTTTGTTTATTGTCGTTCGTTCCTTTGTCGATTTTTGTTTTGTTTTTTTTTTTGTTTTTTTTTTTACTTGGAGTTCCTCATCATCATTTTAAACTGCAGTTAAGATTTTTAAGGCCTTCTGATGACTCCGAAATCCTACTTGTATCAAGCTGCCATAAATCTCTTCCTCACAGCTGTGAAATGATGCTGCGTTGCAGGAAAACCCTCTGGAATCAGTGACACTTTCCAGTCACTAGTGTTGAAGCTTAGAATGTTTTTAAACTGGAATTGGTTTCTCTTACAAGTAATGAAATCCTGACGGGGGGAGGAGGAGGATGCGTTTTGTATTAGCATTTATTTGTACTGTATTCTCAAGAGATTTAGCTCTTAACTCTACTTGAGGTGTAAAATATTCTGCTTTCTTAACAGTTCTGCTCATGGCAAAACCCTTAATAAAGTTCAGTCATTTACAGGAAAATTGAAGGCTTGGATTTGTCTCATTTCACAGAGAGATGTGTTTGAAATGGACCGTGGGAAGTAGAGAATCATGATGGAATGGGTTGAGTTGGGAGGGACCTTGAAGATCATCTATTTCCAAGCTCTTGCCATGGGCAGGGACACCTTCCCCCAGCCCAGGTGGCTCCAAGCCCCATCCGGCCTGGCCTGGGACACTTCCAGGGATGGAGCAGCCACAGATGCTCTGGGAAATCCATTCCAGTGCCTCAGCATCTTCCCAGGGAGGAATTCCTGCCCAACATCCCATCCATCCCTGCCCTCTGGCAGTGGGAAGCCATTCCCTGTATCCTGTCCCTCCAGATCCTTGTCAATAGTTTCTCTCCAAGTTTCTTGTAGCTCCTTTAGGTACTGCAAGGGACAATTAGCTCACCCCAAAGACTTCTCCAGGCTGAACGATCCCGATTCTCTCAGCCTTTCCAGAGCTGTGCCATTCCCTGTATCCTGTCCCTCCAGATCCTTGTCAATAGTTTCTCTCCAAGTTTCTTGTAGCTCCTTTAGGTACTGCAAGGGACAATTAGCTCACCCCAAAGACTTCTCCAGGCTGAACGATCCCGATTCTCTCAGCCTTTCCAGAGCTGTTCCATCCCTCTAAATCATCTTGGTGCCTCCTCTGTCTCCAACAGAACAGCTCCATGTCCTCCCTGTGCTGGATCCCAGAGCTGGATGCAGTGATCCAGGTGAGGTCTCACCTGAGCAGAGCAGAGGGGCAGAATCCCTCCCTCCCCTGCTGCCCAGGCTGTGGGATGAGCCCAGGACGTGTTGGATATCTGGGGCATGTCCATCCTCTCCCCCACAATCCTTTTTCCCAGAGCTGCTCTCCATCTGGGAAAGGATGGAGGGAAAAGATGGGTGAATTCCGAGCGAACCAGACTGGGATGTTCCTGGTGCCACTAGATGCCACTGTGTGTCCACGTTTTCCTGGCTGACATTCCAAGGTCCTGCTCTCTGAGAGTCTGGGAGAAGGGTTGGAATAGGATGGGCAAAGGGAATAAGGACGTGCAGGGATTTTTCACTCCCATTCCTGCCCCAGGTTAGGGCAACAGAGGCCAATGAGGAGTTATTCTCTGTTCCTTTAAGCTTCTTTGTGTTGCAGTGATTGTCACTGGAGTCTGTGATGGTTTTAGAGGGATAAGAGGCAGAAGAAAGGCAGGAAAAGTCCTGCAGCAGCGTGGGAAAACACTTGTGTGTGTGAGACTGGGAAGGAGAAGGGAAAAGCAGCCTGAAGTTGAGTTGAACACCACGAGGTGCACAACCTACTCCTGATCTTCCTTTCTCTTTAAGGGAAAAGCCTGGATTTGTACAGAGGGAAAACCAACAGTGCTGAAGTGCAAACTCCCACTATGTCCCTAACCAAGTCAATTCAGCACCAGATTCCCTCAGATTTCTAAGCAATTGAGGATCTTTCCGAGTGGAAATTGTGCTGTTGGAAGAGGGAGAGAAAGATATTTGCTGCAGACTTGGATTTATGGGCTTAGCCAAGTGTTTGTTTCTTAGGGAACGAGGCTGAGTTTGACAGTGCTCCCTGGTTACACCACCCTGAAGCAATCCTGGCTGCACTGAGCAGAGATTTGAATCATTCTGGTTAAATCTGAGGTGTTTTGGAGCCTCTGGGGCAGCAGGACCCTCTGGTCCCTCAGAGTGGCTAAAGACCTTCAAGGAGGAACTAACTCAAGTGATGCTTGAGATAAAGCAATCGATTCAAAAACCCGAAAAGGCAAAACACTTCAAAGTTAAAATCTACATTAAAATCTACATTAAAATTCCCTTTGTTTTCCATTGCTTCCTTCCTTCCCATCCCACTCTGCCACTGAGGCACAAGTGAAGAAATGATACTGGTCAATACTGGGGCGTAGCTAAGTGATGAGTGGTGTGGCTGAGTGATAAGAGGCTACAGACTGGCCATGCCTTTATGGGCAGTGCCAATCATTGTGAGTGGCATGGCTAAATGATGAGGGGAGTGGCTAAGGGATAAGGTGTGTGGTTAGAACCAGACACACCTGAATGGGCTATGCCAATCATTGGGAGAGGAGTGGATGAGTGATGAGGGATGTGGTTAGAGCCTTGATGGGGCCATGCCAGTCATTGTGATTGGCA